AACTGAACTTTGCAAAATTTTTTTCTCTTTTATCTCCAAAACTGGCAGAGATAGGTCCATAGTTACTATTGAACTTGAATGGGAAGTCATATACTGGCAATCTAAATGTGACCTTGAAATTGACCTTTGGCCTACTTATTATCATGAACTGAACTCTGCTAATTTCTTTCTCTTTTAACTCCAAACCTGGCAGAGGTAGGTCCATAGTTACTATTGAACTTGAATAGGAAGTCATATGCTGGCAATTTACTGTGACCTTCAAATTGACCTTTGACCTACCTTACGATGAACTTAAATTTGATTGTACCATTTTTAGTTATATATATATTTTGCATATTTTGAAAGTTCTTGTTGATTGCATTTTTACAGCTTGTCAAGCACAAGACTGGTGGCTGTGTCCCTTATTTTGTGTATGTGGGGGTCTATACGAATGCGCTTGCTCCAGCTGGTGGTACAATATTCGGAGGCTGTATCGCCTCTCTGATCCTCTAGTTTCTATATGGTGTGACTTGAGTCAATTACTTACTATATCTAAGCATTGGAGTCGTTATAGTTTTCATGTTGTGCTGATGCTCCATTGGACGCATCGCATATTATGTTACTTTGTTATTTATAATTTCTGGAGGAAATGATTGGCAATTCGAGATCATGGAGTAATTTCTGAATAAAAAGTGCAGATTAAACGGTTTACTATTTAACAGCATGTATTCTGTTCGTGCTTAATTATTATCACAAATTAAAGTTGAAATAACCGTGAACATATTAACCATATTAAGAAGTGGTTGCAATGTCAGCTGTATCTTGGTAACGTTTTCAAGCCTGCAACTTTTATAGGTATTGAAAGGAGATGGTCACTGAGGGAGAGATCGCCAGGCACTGGCTAGGGATGATCACTGTGGTTTAAATACACAGAGAGAGTGATTGGGATACTAGTACTTGGTCATGAATATGGTCCCAGAGTTTCCTAGAGCCAAAAGTATATCTTATCGATATCAAAAATGTCTTGGAGATATGGACAGAGACTAGCATTTTAATTAGTTATGATATTTTGATGGATAATCTCAAGTACTGAAGAAATCTTAACCATCTTTATTTGTACAGAAATTCAAGTTGTTATTATTATTATAATTCATACGAACACGTTACTTTTGGTTTATCTTATATAAATTTTGGTTTTATCTGGGTTAAGGCTGGCCAAAAATATTTGGTTATCAAGTTATCAAGTAAATAATAATTTTGATTATGAGAATATATTAAAGTCATTAAAGCCCCTGCTTTTATTCAGCATCTTTTTGAAACCTGTCTCAGATGTTTGTGTAAGGTAATTAACTATAGATCTGTCTGTTCCAGGCGACCAAGAGGCAGCAGCAAGCCATGCCAAGCGGTATACCCAATTCTTCCGCGCCTGGAGCAATTCCACCTTCCTTTCAGGCCTGGATAGCTCTCGCTCAGAGGAGGAAAAGGCCGCCATTGTGGATAAGTTTTTTATTAAGTACGAGACAGCTGTGGCTTCAGGACCAGAGGATCATGGTGTGGATTTAGTTGACGTTTTTATAGATATAGAAAAAATATAAAACATTTACAACTATTCCTCTGCTGGGGTAGATTTTAATAGCATGCTTATTTCGATCTTAAGAAAAGATTTAATTATTGTCGTCTAACTGGTCTTGATTGCTCGGGGTATTAAGTGTATGGTATTTAAATATTATTGATTAGACATAATGTCACATATCACAATGTCAGCAGTATCACGTAAATGATTTAATTCTTCGCCGGGTCCAATTGGTCCCCTGTCATACGCAAATGGTCCCCTGTCATACAGTTATCTGTAATCTGTAACCTGGCTTGCACTGGTATTATATTATTTTTCTTTGGGTGGTAAAATGGGAAGAAAGTAGTATTAAACAAAGCTTAAAAGGGGCACGTGCATATGCCCGTTGAGCCCACCAGGGGTTATTTCGCATTCATAGCACACCAATTTTGTATTGTGTTTTGCTCTAGTGGAGATGTCTGTGCTTTTAGAAAGCTTTTTTTAAGTGGGTGTTTTATTTTAATTTTTTTTATATGTCATCTTGTGCATTTAACTTTGTATCCGTGCCTTATCTAGTTATATTATATTATATTATGGCGCTTTACGGACCAAGTATTTTGATTAATTTCAGAAATGTTTCAAATGTGGTGTTTAACGTATCACTGAAAAAAATACTTAAGGTTTTTAAATAACCATCGAAGAAACTAAGCATAACACATGTTGAAATAAACATATCTGCTTGCTTGTATAGCAAAAACTACTGGCCATAATTTGCCTTTATATGAAATGCATTCTTTAAAATTCAATTTTTACTGTAGAATTTTCACTGTTTGTGAGTGAGTGAGTGAGTTGCATTGCATAAAGTGAAATCGGATAGTGTATTCAAGCGCTGAAGTTTTTGTTTACTGAATAGATGCGTCCCTCTGCTGTTCCCAAATAAGCACTATAATTAAAAAACTAAAATTCATTTCGGAATCTAATCGATCATCATTAAAGTGAAATTCCCTGACCGTTGACTCCTGAAGTTTTCGATCTTCAACGAATAAATTTACGGTAGCATAACCGGTAGACTAACAGAAGGTTCTTACCTCATTGATAGTGCTGTCATAGTTTGTTGGTTTTTCAGCAGTGCACGGCTCTCAAATGTGTGATTTGAGCAAAATATTGATAGCCATGAAAGCGCAGCTGTATCGCTAGCTGTACATTATGGTACCTGTATTTACACCTATCTTCAATGCATTAGCACGTGTCAGCGCGACTCTTTATTTAAAGCAGTTAATTTTTCCCGCTGATCCTAAAACTCTGGACGCAGCATACATTTTAATGTATTCATTAGGGCAAGGAGAAACGATATGAAACCATGAAATAACACAATTTGAGTAAGTCTTTATGAATTCAATTACCATCGCAAAACGTCCACTTTCAAACATGATACCAGTTTCTATCCTAAGTATGTAATTATAAACAACTAAATATAATAAACAAGCGATAACAAAAATACTTTCGATGTTATATACATGTATGAAGGGAACATGGATCTCCTACTAACGGTATAACACACAGATTGTATAAACTACTTCTATCAATTACTATAAGACTCGAATAAAGTCGATATACCAGGGTGTAAACCAAATTAATCACTCGATCAGCCATAAAAAAAGACATTTAAAACAGCACTTTCTTCAAATTTCTGGTCGCAAATTGACCTCCTTATCTGCTCCTTTAGTTTGTAAAAGTCCACCAAACTGACAAAGTAATGCATGGCTCTTTACTGCTGTACACGCAGTAATTGTTAAAGGTGCTATCTTTCTATAAAGATGTAAAGGCATGTAACACTTACCATTCAGCAACATTTTTAGAGTTCGTACAAGCAATGTCGGCAAAACAGAAAAAATTTACATTTTTAAATATACATAGTAGCATGTACATAATTCATCCCATCATCCTGTGGAGCTGGTACCATTGCCTTCCTGTGCTTCAAAAAGTACTTATCCACAATGGCGGCCATTTCCTCTTCTGATTGAGAGCTCCCCAGGCCTGAGAGGAAAGTGGAGTTGCTCCAGATTCGCGCGGCAGGAACATATGATTTGTTGCGTCTGGGTCACCTGCGTCTTGGCCAATGATAGACAAATAACTGTACTGTTAGGCCGATCGTCATTTAACAAATGCTATTCTAAATATAATTATAAAAAATTGATACATGTGCACCGCCTCCTCATTTTTCTTTTAGAAGGTGTTTCTAATAACAAATGTTATTTTTAATAAAAAGTGCATACCCTGTACGTTCATCGAGTTAATAATTTTGACATCTACAGACTCGTATGAAGTTGACAAGTTGTCAATAACATTAATGCAAAACATTGGGCAAATAGTTAACATAAAACCTTACTATTAGTAAACAGTGAAAAAAATTATACAAACAACACGAAACAGAACAAAACCATGATATTTTCTTACTACTGTTTATTTCACTCATTTTGGTAAAACCTGTCAACTGTTTTATATTTTCATGTTTTATATTACTGTATCCATGTGTATCCCTCCTTTAGCACAACCTTGGATCCGCCAGTGAATCTTTGGTCACAGATTTTTAAGTATAACAACATAATAGCCCATGAGAAAAGATCATTGTATGGCACTGCATTTCCAATTATGTATTTAAAGCCCATTCAGATTAAATACAAAACAAGAATAGTTTAATGACAAAAGGTGTCTAGCGACACTAAACATTATATTCCTATGAAGTTTAATCTTATTGGAAAGGATTTGCATCTAACACCAAGAGACAGGAAAGTCTATTTCAGGAGAAGGTAGTTGATTTTAAACTTTTTCTATATCCATATAAGCGTGAACAAAATCCACCCCATGATCCTCTGGGGCCGATGCCACTGCTTTCTCGTACTTCAAAAAGAACTTATCCACAATGGCAGCCTTTTCCTCCTCTGAGCGAGAGCTATCCAGACCCGAGAGGAAGGTAGAGTTGCTCCAGGTGCGTGGCGATCGGACACAACGCCTGGCGTGGTCAGCTGCTGCCTCTTGATCGGCTGAAATTGAGACAAACAGTCAGTCTGCTTCAACTGTTCAACTGTGTATTATTAATCACATCCATCTGGGAGAAAGAAATAAGTTTTGTCAAAATGGGTTCCAGAACGAAATGCATTTTCTCGTAAAATTTTCATATCACGTTCGTCAAAGACAGGTTGTCATGAGGGATATCTGCATAATATTTTCTTAGGAAACACAGAGATAAGAGTACTTACCAGCTATGTAACGACATGTTTTAGAAAAAGCTTAGCGATCTGCTGACTTACAAAAATGATTTGCCGAATGTGCAAATAAAACCTATATAATCTGAACAAGTATATACATTTATGTATTCCAAACATGCTTTATTTGCACTTTTCATTTATTATACTTCAGAAATGAACAATACATTGTACAAACTTACCTACTTCATTTTTTATTCACTGCTCACATACACACTAGTAAAAGGACCGTCTCTTTTCATTTTATTTCATTTTGACACAGGGAGACATATAAGTATTACTTAGCTTTACATGTTCAAAGTATTGTAGCAAATTAATAATAAAAATAATAATAATAATAATGAAAATAGTTAACTTTATTTAAAGAGGGTAAAACATGTCAAGCACATACACTTATTTTGCACAGCCCTCTGGGGGGTAAGCATATAATATTGTGTTTATGAATAAAAGATGAATAAATTAATGAAATTAAAATAATAATGAAGTAAAAATGAATCGAGTTGAGAGAAATAATAGTAATAAGAATAAAGCAAAAGGCATTATGTTAGTAAAAATCTTAAAGCTACATGGCTTAATAATTGTATACATAAAGTTTACTTTTGGCTTTTTAAAAACATTTTTTAAGTGTCCAAGTCTTTGGAGTATTTAATTTCAGAGTTAAGGCAGTTCCGTGTTTTAATCGAAGTCCATATTGGGCCTTTAGTTAGTTTGTCTTTTTTTCTGCCAACTGGTAAATAGATATTTCCCATATTACTTGATCGGGTGATACTGCCCGTGGTGTCTATGGTTGTAATTCCCAGGTAGTCCCTGATGTGTTTTTGTAAGACTCCATTTAACGAGTTAATAACTAATGTGGCTTTCTTAAACCCTGTCCGTTTATAAACTGTTTGCCATTTTAGTTTCTTGAATAGTTCAATTGATGGATATTTCTTGGCTTCTTTTTTTCTGGGATATAGAGAATGATTCTTGCACCACGTTTTTGAAGCTTGTACATGTTTTCTAGTTTTGCACAGCTGCTCTATATAATGGAGCAGTAATCCAGATGCGGTAGTATATGTGCATTATAAAACAGTTTTCTTGTTTCCAATGTTAATATCGTTTTAGTCTGGATAGAAGGGACAGTTTACTGTAAATTCTTTCTTCAAGTTAATATACATAATCATTCAAGATAAGATTTTCGTTAATCAATACACCTAAAAGTTTTTTCTGATTGTACATTATCTAAAATGTCCCCATTGAACACAACAGAAAAACAGATATTTAATACTTGTTCAACTACACGTAGACAGTGTGAAACTGTTGTAAATATAATGGGTAGAGTGCATAGACACATTTAGGAAAGAACATGTACAAACTTACCCTTCCTTCCACTCTTGATCCATTTTTCGTGAAATGGACAACGCACCACTTTAGTTTCAATGGCCAGCAACTTTAACCCACTTTTGGACACAGCAGAGTTCGGGTCACAAAATGGAGCACTGCATTCCTCCACGGTTCGGTAATACATGTTGAAGTTTGTGTTGTCAAATTCTTCCTGTAGAAATGGATGGCATAAAAAATTAAGATTCTTTAGAAAACTGCATTTCTTCTTAATGGTCAGATACATTGATGATGTTTAAATGGCTGCCAAAATTCGCACAGTTTAAAATCAAAAGTCTAGCAGAATCTCCCTTCAGTTTTCAGTTCAAAACTCAAAACTGTTATTAAATACTTCCTGTTAGATATGGTAGGATTTGGGGATTGTGCAGGTAACTGCAATTTTTAGCAATGGCCAAATTGTTAAAACATTTAACTTTCAGAAGTTTTTGGCTCACTTCAGTTCAAAACGGCCGACAAAAATCCACATTCGTTTCAACCTCGACTGAATGCTTAAATTAAATGTAATAAATAAAAACAAATTGCCCATGAACATTCAATGCACCGTGAAATTGCCTGGTACACCATTTTTAACCAATTGCTAGCAAAGCATTTCTGCAGTTATCAGTTCAAAATATATAGCACAAAGGCACTAACCTTTAATTGAGGGATTCGATATACATAAGTTTTCTCTTTAACCGCTAGGATAATACGGCAGTATACGTCGTCATGTTACGATATAAATTTTTTCACAGAATGCATTCACAATTAGTAGCTTAGTACTACTGAAATTGAAGCAAAAAGTGCCACCCTCCCGCTTTTATGTACATTGCTGCAGGAGTACCCATTAATTTTATTTTAGCACTGCATTTAAACTAGACAACCGCTCATTGTGTAAATTCGTGACGTGCGTAATGGAACAGTGGCCTATCTACCTTGACAATTGGATTTATCCCACATCAATTACATTTTAATAATTGGTTCCTTAGTGAGTGCGATTCATTTTTACTGAGCGACTGGCATAAGAGAGAGCTTTGACCCACCAAATGCCAGAAGGTATGATTGTTCCATGAGGGTTAGACAACATCTTAACCAAACAGGGACATGGGCAATATTGCCCTAAAGCCGAACGAATGAAACCACACCTAGAGAAGAGAGTTAACAGGTTTTCCTCAAAGACATGACATTTAGGACATCTAATTATTATGGAACTAGACTGCAGCATTTTTAGTCCAGTAAACGAACGCAATTTCCAATTTGAAGCTGGAAAAAAAGTTAACAAAGGTTTCTCAACTACATCCGGTCAATTTATGGGCCAATGTAACCCAGATAAAGGCGACACCAAAGATAAGATTTTAAAGCAGAAAGGAGCTTGTGTTGTGGTACTGATTTTCGATTGCAAGGCATTCTTAGTTCAAACTTCAAACTCCGCGTCAGCCACTTTGCTTCTTTGTTTCGTCTGCACGAGATGACGTCAGCTCAAGGCGAGAAAAGCCTACTTATGTGTTCCCCCTACCTGTGTGATCTCTTTCTCAGTGACCATCTAGTTCCAGCCGTTGTTAAAGTTATAGTCCCCTACCTGTGTGATCTCTCTCTCAGTGACCATCTAGTTCCAGCAGTTGTTAAAGTTAGGTTCCCCTACCTGTGTGATCTCTCCCTCAGTGACAATCTGTTTCCAGTTCTTGTTAAAGTTAGGTTCCCCTACCTGTGTGATCTCTCCCTCAGTGACAATCTGTTTCCAGTACTTGTTAAAGTCATGTTCCCCTACCTGTGTGATCTCTCCCTCAGTGACCATCTGTTTCCAGTACTTGTTAAAGTCATGTTCCCCTACCTGTGTGATCTCTCCCTCAGTGGCCATCTCCTTCCAGTACTTGGTAAAGCTGTGGAACACGCTCTCCTTGATATTTTTGGTGGTTCCTGCACTCTGTCCTTCTTTGTCTATGGCTAAGTTTATGACCACCATTCTGCCACCTGTATGTTAGGAAATACAGGTGGAAATAGATGAGTTAGTACATTTTAACTTAACTCTTCTATACTTAAAAGTATTAAATGTATAGATGTGTAAATGAATTAATGATTAAAAAAACAGGACAATTTGTAAAGACAAACACAGGCGATAGTTTGATTACTTGATAAGAAAAAGACATAGCATACATCTCGGTGGACTCATAATAAATTCGGGAAATGGAGAAGCGTAGCTTTGGAACTAGTCTCAATCTCGAGAACAGCTCGTAAGATTGATCTAAAACTGTTTTGTAATTGATCTGGTCACCGTCTACTTTGCCAACAGTATTTGTGAGCAGCAAAGTCTTGTTAAGATCCATGAACTGACACCTAACTGGAAAGTAAACAAGTCATTCTCTTTATCAGTTACATATACCTGATCGCAACTCTTTAGCTCTTGCCAGAAGGATGGTCTCCCAGTCTTTGGCTGCCTGGGCTTGGAATACAGCTTTCTCCTTATAGTCTGTGATCTCAGTGAAGTGTAATGCTCCCGTGATTCTACATGGTCTGCAATAAGTTTGTTCGTAATTCTACATATGACGTAAGTGATAGACCCTTTTCTATGCATTCAGTGAAATACTATGCTCAAAATATAGCATTTGACAAACCATTACATCAGTCTCTCCTTTTCTTTTACTATAGAATCATAATGTTGAGATGCGCTGCCTTGCCCAGAAGCAGCATTTATATCCACTCTTCACATTGAGAATAGTTAAAATACCTTGTGGAAAGCCAATGCATGGCAGTGAAGGACATGCCAAAGTGCAGGCTACCAGGAGGCAAACACTGGGAGTAGAAACTGGTACCACTGGCTAGCACATACACATTGTCAAACTCCTGCATGTAGGATGGTGGGGCATGACTCAGCAAACCTTGATTTGTTAAAAAGAAAACCGATGGTATTCTGACATTCAAGTATATTTTCTCTCTGACGCATTCTGTTTCTTCATGGCCATGTATTTTAATAATATATTATCACTTTCTATACTTGAGCTCGTTTATGGTTGGTCGGACGATGCCATGACCTCACCTTCCACTCTCAAGTATAACTGTGGGACCAGGAACTTCAAAGTAAGTTGCCTGATGTTCAAAACTCTTGCTTTCAGTGACTTACATATTCAGAGGCCATGTTAAATGCGCTATTGTTAATTTACTTCCTTTTAATAATCGGAATCTTAACTAAATCTCAAAGGACCCTACTAATGTTGACGTCGTATGTGAGACAAAGACAGCTCGATACCCATAATTTGCAGCAACACCAACTATTGTGACCTTGGGACCAACCCCTGCTAAGTATGTGGCCCAACGTGGTACATACGTAGTACACTAGCTAAATGCCATCTCTAGTCCTTCCACCCACCAATCATTCAAACCGTCAATCAAGTCAGTCATCCCTCCATCCAACGGCCATTTACCAAGGTAAAAGTTACCATAGCTACAGCAGTAAATTATTTAATGTTGCCATTAGCCTCCACAGACTAGGTCTTATATAATGAGTCTTAGTACACACCTTGTACTCTAAAAAACAGTGACTTGAAGTCATTGACAGGCTGGTCCTCATACACCACTTGCACAGGTAGGTCTTTGCCATGTCTGACACGCAGAAGTTCTGAAAGCATAATATTTAAGTCTTAAATTCTTAAACAGTATTAATCTTACGATTGATTTCTTGTCCCTGCGGTACTGATCTGGCAAAGTGGTTGATAGGCACTTGGACCCCCCGTGTGTAGAAGTGCGCGGGGTGGTATATAAAACAATAAAAAAGTGGATTTTTGTTCTAAAGATGTTTCCTTTAATTGCAAGGAAAGCCGTTTCTCAAATGTAGGCCTTTAACGGCCTTAAAAGGCTACTCCAGTGCTGTGTTTAATACAAACATTGCTACTGGCAATGGCTATCCAAGGAGGCTAAGAAAGGATAACGGCTAGGTACGGTAAAGATAAATTTTTATCTAAAGGGTTTGATAGTTTTATGTGTGAATTGTGAAGAGTAAGAAGCTTTAAAGGACATGAATATTACAGTGGGAGATATTGAGAGAACGTCTGAAATTTCATTTTGGCGGGGATGGCCCTTCAAGCAAATTTCACTGAAAAAAATATGTACGCAGTTCTTGGCGACCATCTTGTAAAACCTGAATGTCGGGCACAGTTTTATTGTTATGATATATATATATATATATATATATATATATATATATATATATAACTATTTATCTCTAATTTATTGTATCTTAAAAGTAAACAAAAAAGCAATATCTGTAGCCAATATAATTAAAAACAACGTTATCTCTGTTAGAGTCCGTGACCATTTATGAGTTTGCTAAAGGTACCAGAAAACAGAGTTGTTATATACACAAGTTTGAAGAATACCGAAACAATATTAATCTACCGTCGTTATTTTAAGTACTCAATGTATAACTTTTTCAAGAGAAAATGTCGAACGTGCATCTTGCATATTTCAAGAGGCCTCAGAATGCAGATTAGTAAAGAAAAAAATCGAATAAAAGAATAGTTTCTAAATATACATGTATGTATTGGAGAATAAAAGCAGGGATTTGGATACAGCATTTACCTATCATCTTTTTTAAAAGAATCATAGATGTCCCCCCGTCTGCAGTTCCGAAGTCAGCAATTACAAACGGAACGTTCAAACTTTTCACTGGAACCTTTTCTAAAAAACAAATAGTGAAAAAAAACACAATAACATGCATGATGTGATATTAGCACGTTGGATAGCGATACAAGCAATAGCAACTTAAAGAAGCGTTATTATAATTTTTGTTTGTACTGGTTTTATGCCATATAGTCTTAAATTTGGAAGCAATTTATGATCGGATGAAGTGCTTCCAAAGATGCTTCGAAATCTAAAACTTTTATAGTACATATCTTTCCCATGACATTGAGGTTATAAATAGACATTGAGGTTATATAACTGTACCTTACCCAGTGCATTGAGGGCCATAGGAGTGGCTGCATCTACAACATTAAAGCACGCTATATGGTTGTCACTGTAGAAGCCAGAACCTTCTTTGCCATATGGTATGTGACTGTGGGGCACCTGAACTTCTGCCATGTCTGAGATGCCTGTTTTTTTCGTACTAAAATGACAACTGAATATTGCTAGCAAGCCTATGCTTTTAATCTCTCTTGACACTGCCGCTCTAAACAACGTGACAGTTTGTGCTCACACGGCAGCGGTTTAAGTGTGATTTCAGTCATGGCAGTTCCACAGATAAATGAAATCTCGAATAATTCATCAAACTTTTTTCTGGCAGTTTTTCAGTTTCGTGATTAGGAAGATGCGTTGAATTGACGGCGTAAGATAATCAATACAACTTAAATATGTCCAAATTAGCATGAAACCACATTTTGTACATGTAAGTTAAATTTACTGATACATGTATTTTGAGATATTAATATAGTTAGGACTACATCTTGGAAAATAATGTAGCAAAATTATAACTAATACTTTAAGAATTGACCAGAGGACTCCGTCTGCAAAAACGTCATGCCAGATTTTGAGACACTCCAATGATTCCGCGGGAAGCAATGGCCACGCGATAGCCATTTCACCCAAACCCAAAATAGAAGGGCAAATAACGTCACAGCCACAGTCTTTAATTATTTAGTACACGGATTACAAACTGTGTTTGATAACCTTATGGATTCACATGGGGAATTTCGCATCAAAATGTCACTTTTCTGGAAAATGAAAAATTATTCATCGTTTGACCTCCAAAAGGAACCTATGTTAAATCGCCACGGGAGGGCGACCATTGTTGCTGCATGATCAATGATCGGCCAGTGGTCGGCACGAGATAGATATATTTTTACTGTCAAACTGATCCGTACTAGGTTTTTTTTTCATCGGAACCAAGACATTTGAGGGTTACAGCCGCTGGTTGCCTCAAATCAGTCTCCAACTGGTATTTTGTTTCTTGATCCTTGAACCTACCCATTTGCGAAGGTTATTAGAAAAAAAGAATATTAGGAGATGTTCAAAGGTCTACTGGACGTCTTCCTTCATCAATCTGATGTGAGTAGATGTTGACACTCATTGACCGCTAGGTGGTTTAGCGGCCAGGGCCCTCTTATAAATGTCAGGTAGATCGCCCAGGTTGGCCATAAGCTAGAGATTTGAAAGTTTTTCAACTTGTCTGAAAAATTTATTTATGATCCAACTACCAAACTAATCAACATTTTTGCTCATTTAAAATTGATAGTTCGATAATACTAGAATGTAACATGTACTCACCTAGAAAGTAATCATAAAGTGTAGAAATTCGCCAAGCCTAAATAAAGAATATAATTTGTTGTGCTGAGAGCGTGGACGTGGACTATCAAGAGACCAGGGTTCAATGAGACTTGTAGTTGCCACCTAATGTGGGTTTATGTTCGCATTTATGTAGCCTGCATCACATTACACTAACATATACAGCTAAACACGACTAGCAGGCACATTATTAAACACGTCACCTTAGCAACACTTTCATTTATTGCTACACTATAATCTAGATGCTGAGAGCCTGGATTTTTTTCTCTTTTTTTTCAACAATCAACATTATGGATGGTACTGCATTATGACGGTGCTAATGCATAATTAATGGATGTATACAAATAATAAACGGAAGACAATATTTGTGTATCACCTCTGATGCTGAATGCATTTATATGTTTATAAATGTAGAAAACAGTAGTGCGCTTTTGAATTCAATTTCAGACCACGCAAAAAAAGCCAAAACTAGAAACCAAGGTCTGATCAAAATAATATATCTAAATAATAAATGTCCAGCCATTTAAAGTTGACAGAGAATGGAGACCCAGTGACTATTCTAAAGTTGACGAAATAGTTTGGCGTCATTATTGTCATTTGGCTCTTTTGATCTCTTCCACCAAGAAAAGTCACCCTGCCCAGGCCATTTGGTTTAATTCAGTCCCAGACCCGAGCGATATGTACATTGAAGCCTCCCTACCCGTAGAATATATCCATTTTCAGTGCAACTAATTTAGAAACGTACTTTGTATTATTTATCTTGTTTACCAGCAGGACCCAACTACATAGCCAAAGATATATAATTAATATAGAAATATAGTGATAAATTTCAATTTTGCAGGACACACGCCTCCCCATGCGTCGTCCCTCGACCAGTCGAATTGAGACGAGATTTAATTACTGTGCCCCTGCAGGGACGACGCGTGTGGAGGCGTGAAAGAGGCGGAGGGACCATTACAGGATTAAGCGGTCTTCCTTTCATGTAGGTCCGCCATATTTAGATCGTGGACCAGCTAGCACTCGGCTCTCCTCATTATGAATGGTCCCTATTTGGCTGGATGGAAGATGACTTGGATGAATTGGAAGATGATGGTTATGTGTCCTGCTGTGTGCCATTCTGGAATTACGAAGTAATCATAGTAGCCCATAGCCACTTACGATGTCAAAATAATCGCATGGAAAATCGTAAGGCACTAAATCTAATTATTCGAACTACTACATGTAGACCACTTCCAACCAAATTAAATTTTGTTGCATTGGCATTTTTCACGTCGATTTATTCGACCGGGTTTCTTGTTAGCTCGCCAGAAAATGACATACACTGTATTGTTTAGAATGTCAGATGGTTGAGTCCCGTAACTAGCATAAATTTTGATAATTTTAACAATATTCCAAATAAAACGAAAATTTCTTTCTTGTTTTCTTATTCATGTTCTGGTCTAGGGAATTAATATTTTTCAATTTTTGTTTTTATCTTAAAGTTTGTAACTCATATTGATCTGCATTTAAAATTTATAAATTGCTCTACAGATACCAAATAAATAACATGGAAGGCATAATTATGTCATGGTTAATTTATTTACATGTATATATTGCATACATCATTTCTCTCCATTATTGCATAACATGACTGAAATGTATACTTGTGACTACCATATAGCCTCAACTTTTTAAGTATCGTAAAAATCTTCATTTACATAACTACGGCAAACTAACATTTCCAGAGTATATACAGTATATAAAATTAAGACTTTGACAGGGGAAGCCTGCGTAAGAATCCCACAACTGTTAATGCAACTAAGATTCTTTTATTACCTCTTTGCCATCCCTTAACACGTGTAAGCAGCGTAACTCTCACCGACTTGCAAACGTTAAAGAATTTTTTGTTCAGATTTAAAAACTCAATAAAAATAATCAAGAATTGTTATCCTGAAATTAAATGCACCAATACAGATCTAAGATAACATTTCTTATGAAGACTGAGCGATGTCGTACCGTCTTTTTTGCATTCAATGAGTACTTGTTCAGTAGAAACTTGTTTAAAATCCAAACTCCTCAATCTTTTTGAGAGCATAAAATACTGTTTTACAGCAGTAATATCAGTAATCAGTTGACTGATTTTTGCATGCAACAAACAGACAATCTCAACTTAGGAATCTATGCCTAGTAACATTCGCTGCCAGACTTTCAATAGGGATGTGACAAAGAACTGACCGAATTTCATTTCACGTCCTACATGTGTACAGGACAGAAAACTGGACGAAATATCAACAATGGGTTTGTACAAGCATTTACACATAAAACAATATTTACAACTTCACTCAAGTGTTGACTGCATCACTCAAATTATGACTTGNCGGCATGAAGCAAACCCTTTAATGAAACTATTTTTGAGCATGCTGTTTCAGCTGATCAATCAAAAAGTGTCCAAGAACTAACAGACTGTGTAGAATCATGTACAAAATATTTACAGACCCTGTAGAATCACCGGAGCTCTGGTACATGTTGATATCACAGATCCTACGGAGAAAGCTCTGTTCCAAGCCCAGGCGGCCAAAGACTGGGAGACCATACTCCTGGCTAGAGCTAAGGAGTTGAGACCAGGTATCAGTTATATGCATAAGATATGTAATATGGTAACTGGTACATTCCATTCCAAAGTTAACATGTATTCATTGTGACCGTTGAATTTTTCTTGCTGTATTCCACATCTTCCGCTTCTTTCGTTTTTCAAAACCTTTTTGTTTATCATTATCTTGTATTTTCTTAGTTAGTTTATTAATCTTCCTTACTGATTAATTCAAAACACTTATATTTTTGTGTATTACTTGGCATCAGGTGGCAGGATTGTAATCATAAGTGATTGTTTAGAGAAGGAAGGACAATATCCAGGGACCACCAAAAATATCAAGGAGAGCGTGGTCCACAGTTTAACCAACTACTGGAATGAAATGGTCACTGAGGGAGAGATCACACAGGTAGGAAAACATAACTGTAACAAGTACTAGAAGGTGGTGGTCACTGAGAGAGAGATCACACAGGTACGGGAACATAACTTTAACAGGTACTGGAAACAGATGGTTACAGAGGGAGAGATCAATTTCAGATGAATAGCCAATGAGAAGGACAAGAATGGCTATGTATTGACACTGTGGGTGAGATGCACGAGGAGAGTGATTGGGATATGTTATCCTTAATGTGTGTAGGAGCAGACCAATGAATGATTTTTTGTGAAGATAGCGGGAAGAACTCAAATGGCAAATTCCCGATTTTGTTTTTTGGACTATTTTGGCAATGGGATGCTGTGTTGGCTATTGATCTAAAATGGTGTGTGCCAAATGTATTTTCAAAATGGACAATGAAGTTTAATTGCATGGGCGATATTTTGTAATGAAAAAGTTTGGATCGATAAAATATGATATAAGGTGTCCAATTTTTACTTTAGTGATCCCAACCACATGGGAAGTAAAGAGTTTTGACGTTTTTGTCATTTAGAAAAAGTAATCCTCCAATTACAAATATCCCCCTTTTTTACAGGAAGAATTTGACAACACAAACTTCAACCTGTACTTCAGAACCAGGGAGGAATACAGGGCTCCTTTTTGTGACCCGAACTCTGCTGTGTCTAAAAGTGGGCTTAAGTTGCTGGCCATTGAAACAAAAGTGGTGCGTTGTCCATTTCACGAGAAATGAACCAAGATCGGAAAGAATGGTAAGTTTGTTTGTTCTTGTTCTTTCCCAAATGTGCCTATCCACTCTACCAATTCAATCAACATCCCTTTTATGTAATATAGCTTTATGCAAATAGACTATTACTAGTATTTGGCCATGAATATGGTCCCAGAGTTTCCTAGAGTCAAAAGTATATAGCCTATTATCGATATCAAAAATGTTAATTAGTAATGATATTTTGATCGATATTCAGAAGTAATGAAGAAATCTTAACCATCTTTTTTTACAGAAATGCAAGTTGTTATTATTATTATTATTATTATTTATTCATACGAACACGTTACTTTTGGTTTATCTCATATAAACAGGTTAATTATTGTTTATCTGGGTTAAGGTTGGCCTAAAATATTTGCTCATCAAGTTACCATGTTCATAATAATTTTGATTATGAAAATATATTAAAGTAATTAAATTCTCTGTTTTCTATTCAACATCTTTTTGAAACCGGTGTTAGATGTTTGTGTAAGGTAATTAACTATAGATTTATCTGTTCCAGGCGACCAAGAGGCAGTAACCAGCCATGCCAAGCGGTATATCCAATTCTTCCGCGCCTGGAGCAACTCGTCCTTCCTCTCAGGTCTGGATAGCTCTCGCTCAGAGAAGGAAAAGGCCGCAATTGTGGATAAGTTTTTTATTAAGTACGAGAAAGATGTGGCTTCAGGTCCAGAGGATCATGGGGTGGATTTAGTTGACGCTTACATAGATATAGAAAAAATGTAAAACATTTACAAATATTCCTCTGCTGAGGTAGATTGTAATAGCCTCGTGTGTACCAATGAAAGGTACAAACATAGTTATTAAAAGATTGAACGTGTTCGTTATGTATTGTCGAAAGGTCAAAGGAAAGAAATCGTGCTATTATTTCTATCTTAAGAAACAGTTTAATTATTTTGGTCAAACTGTTCTTGATTGTTCTGGGTATTTAGTGTAATGCATTAAATATTATTGAAAGGAGTGTCACATATCAATATGTCAGCAGTATCGCCTAAAGGAGTGTGTTCTTCGTCAAGTGCAGTGGGTCCCATGTCATATGAAAAATGTTATATGTTGTTATAGTTATAAATTTTGTAACCAGGGCTGCACTGGCGTTATGTTATTTTTTCTTTGGGGGTGGTGAAAGGGGAAGAAAGTGGTACCAACAAAGCTAAAAGAAAGGCACGTACATGCTCAAGTTCTTGTCTAAGGAATGAAAAAGATACTTTCCAATGTTTGTTTTTTATCTTAAAATTTGTAACCCATTTAGACCTACATTTAAAATTTATGTACTGACACCAAATAAACAGAAGGCATAATTATGTCATGGTTAATTTATTTACATGTATATATTGCATACATCATTTCTCTCCATTATTGCAAAACATGACTGAAATGTATACTTTACTTGTGACTACCATATAGCCTCGACTTTTTAAGTATCGTAAAAATCTTCATTTACATAACTACGGCAAACTAACATTTCCAGAGTATATACAGTATATAAAATTAAGACTTTGACAGGGGAAGCCTGCATAAGAATCCCACAACTGTTAATGCAAGATTCTTTTATTACCTCTTTGCCATCCCTTAACACGTGTAAGCAGCGTAACTCTCACCGACTTGCAAACGTTAAAGAATTTTTGTTCAGATTTAAAAACTCAATAAAAATAATCAAGAATTGTTATCCTGAAATTAAATGCACCAATACATATCTAAGATAACATTTCTTATGAAGACTGAGCGATGTCCTACCGTCTTTTTCGCATTCGATTAGTACTTGTTCAGTAGAAACTTGTTTAAAATCCAAACTCCTCAATCTTTTTGAGAGCATAAAATACTGTTTTACAGCAGTAATATCAGTAATCAGTTGACTGATTTTTGCATGCAACAAACAGACAATCTCAACTTAGGAATCTATGCCTAGTAACATTCGCTGCCAGACTTTCAATAGGGATGTGACAAAGAACTGACCGAATTTCATTTCACGTCCTACATGTGTACAGGACAGAAAACTGGACGAAATATCAACAATGGGTTTGTACAAGCATTTAAACATAAAACATTATTTACAACTTCACTAAAGTGTTGACTGCATCACTCAAATTATGACTCGAATTGCCTTTTATCTTGTACAAATCTTCTGAAACAGATTTTTCTTTGGTAATTGCTGAAATTAGTATGAACACTGCCTAACCCCAATTTGGTTGTAAAGTTAGGCAGAGTCAACTATATTTGGAATATCATACTACAAGACCCTCCATACTCCATAGAAATATAACATGAAGTAGCACATGAAACATACTAACTGATCATTTGGTAAAAACTGGACTTAATGCCAATTGTAAAAAAAAAAATTTTAATAACTGAGACAGTACAAGTGCAGTATGCAGTACACGCATGCAGCAGTTTTATAGTAAACCCAGTCAGGGTGTTAACTAACTAATGCATGCATGTAAATATATTGACACCTTTTCCATTCATCTAGCAATGGACTGTACTTTAAATCTAAGGAAACCGCCCCTGGATTCCTTCCTGGAAAGTGCATGCATTTTCAAACAAAGTGCACAAACAATCCCATAGATGTCAATTGTTGTATCCAAAATTGTTGGAATGAGCAAAACTTTTAAAAGGCCATCATATACAATAAGTGCTGCTTATAATATCATGCATTCACCAAATTAGGTGATCTTCATGCTCTCTAATAGATATATAGCCCAAATCCAGGAGCTAAGAAAAAAAAACAAAAAAACAAAGGACCAAAGACGACCACAAAAAAGGTTCTATTTGCAAATTACAATTCACCATGCATTCATATACAGTGAGTATAATGATAACTATACTACAAATTCTAATTAAAATATTATGTACAAATTGCATATGTTTATTTGGCACAATTCACCGCCACTTATGCACAGACAGTTCAAAAGATGACAAGGCTAGCAATGACAAATGTGCTAAAAACAAGTTAGCCTGGACATTTGCAGCAACTTGAAACCAAGTGGAGCATCCATTTTTTTTTTTTTACTGAAAGTCCAAATTGTTTTTTGAATTTCAAATCAGTAAGAAATCTTCCTGCAGAGTAACCCTTAATGCAATTCTTGTTAAAGTTTTAAAACAGGATGCCAAACTTTCTTTTTTAAAAATAAAAGCTGAGATAAAAACAGTTTACTAGTGCCGCCATCTTTTGAGAAGGACCTGCCAAACCTGTACAGTGGGGTTGGACGGATACCCTGATGAGGGCGAATCCTAATAATAATAATAATAATAAACAGCTGTACAAATAAATGCTGTTGTAAAAATGAGAAGAATGACAGACTTAACAATAATTACAACAAGATAAAAGTTTTTTTATCTCATTGATAGAGTGCATAATTGAGGCACAGTATGTAAATGCTCATCTGTGCACAATTCTTACTTATTTTTTAGCAATTCTTGGTGAAACTCTTTTGAGATACACACCATCTTGTCGATTTGAATTTCTGAACTTCTCAAATGCTCCATGAGGAGACAAATCTCTTTGAAAGTTCACTTTGAAAATACTGCCCTACAAAGATACTCATGCCCATAAATTGCTACAAAAAAGTAATTTGTTTATTTTATGGGATCCTAAATAACTGATCAGCAAGTTTAATAAGTGATAATTTTTACCCTCCTTTGAGTATAAGAAAACAATATAAAGATAATATTTTCTTACTTGTGAGTTTCTTTAACTAAAGCAAGCACTCATAACTAGTTCCCTCAGTCAGATAGCACCAGCCATACGCCCTTCCCCTAAACACTTGGGGCGATATCCACACTTGACTTAGTGGACAACCTTGGAGAAGCCCTGTAGTTATATAATACAAATAACACTGCAGTAACAATGGCATCTTTGTTGCCGTGTTCCCACATGGTTCAACCATGAAATGAGCAAGCCTGCCAATAACAACTTACACACTAGGTTCAACAAAACATGAAACGAAATATATGTAAACAACTATACCAAATGAGACTTCGGATTTCCCTTTTTTCAGGGTTGAGATCATACATACTATAAATTCAAATTTCACTTAAAACAAAAAAGCGTGTCTTTATCAAAATATCTCCACTTCCACTTATCCACAGTTCAATGAGTATGACACAAAAATATTCTCATTATTCATAAGTCAATATCTTCTCCACTGCCACTATCAACTTCCTCCACCACTACAAGTTATGGTATAATCTTTGGACATATAATTTCCCAAGGTGCCTCATACAAGATGTCCTCTCATTTCTACAGGAAGAGGCTCAGCAGGCTCTGGCTTTTGGCTTCTTCTTGATGGGGGGCGCAGATCAGTGTTTCCTGAATTAGCAAAGGAAAAGAACTGTTTGGAAACACCTCAAAAATAAACCATTAAGTATATGTGTGAAATTTGCAGGTAAAAAGAGAAATTTTACTCCTAATGAATGACTATAATGTTAAGGTTTAAGTGTGAGAATCGCTTGATCAATATGCAACTGCTGGCAGCTTTTGCTATGCTAAAATCAAGGGAAAAATGATCTTAAAACATAAAACAGAATAACAAAACTATGGTATTTATAAGGATAAGGTCTTCCAAATCAAAATTTAAAATCAAATGCTGTGAATCAAATGCTTGATCAATATGCAACTGCTGGCAGCTTTTGCTATGCTAAAATCAAGGGAAAAATGATCTTAAAACATAAAACAGAATAACAAAACTATGGTATTTATAAGGATAAGGTCTTCCAAATCAAAATTTAAAATCAAATGCTGTGAATCACCATGAAAATATTCTAATCAAACCTCTTTAAACAAGTAAAGACTGTGTAGTATTCATATCTCACACCAGATGGCAGTTACCTGGAGGTGGGGTGTACCGTGGCATTTCATTCAGGTCATAGTTGCGTGCTGGCAGAGGGGGGTGGTTCAGGGGTGGTATATGGGCGCGTCCATGGCTGGAGGACCTTGTTGGGGGTGGGGGTGGAGCCTTGCCATTGGGGGTGGGCTAGAAACAAAGAAGGGCTATTTCATAAATTCAAATCAATGCTGGTTAACATAAATGGAATAAGAAATTAGGAAATTGTAAATGGGTATGGAAAAATCTAAAAGAAAGAAAAAATTGGTGTCAGGTAAGTTCTTCCCTAGGTCATGGAATAATGGACCTCTCTTTCAAGATGAAATAAAGTATATATTGAACATGCCTGAAAAACATTAATATTACTGATATTCTGGATCACATACCAAATCCTCCTTCATCATCATCAGACTCATACGGTCCTATCTATGAACAAAAGGGAACAAAAATGTCACATTTTCCATGATCAAGTAGTTATTCATATCACATAAATATCCTTCCAAAAGGTGATAATATTAATTTTTCATTTGTTCAACATTGCTCTGTGGTGTGTGTGTGTGTGTGTGTGTGTGAGAGAGAGAGACAGAGAGAGAGATTGTTGTTACAAATTCATCTATTCACTTCTCATATATTTTTCTTTTGAACATTTCAAAATGTTGGTAACACATTTATTCAGTCATTTTCACCAATATCAGAAAACAAATTTTTCCTTTCTTACCAAGCCCTCCCTGTTCCTGCCTTGGCCCTGTTCGCCCATGCTGTTTAAACCTTTCTGCATTTGGTTCTTCCTCAACTGGTGGGCATACTCGTCCTCCTGGGGGCGCAGCCTGGGCAATGATCCGCCATGATAGGGAACTGAAGAAGGGAAGAATAACGGAAGATAATGAGTTGTTGCTTGAATTTGGTACAAAATGCCAATGAAGACATATAGTATCCGTTGCAAGCTTTTCTTCATATTTCATACAAAGAAGGCCTTTTTTATGTCTTCACAGAGGTGACGCTGAAACTACATCTACCCTACATATGTGAGATACTGTTCAATCAAAGGTTATTTTATTTTTTAAAATCTTTACTACTCAAAGTGGACATAACTATCCTAAATCTGTGTGTACCTTCATCAGTCCTGGGGTAGTCGTCTAGATACATGTGTTGACCGCCGTGTCCACTGTGTCCAGCTGGGAGGGTATAGTTCCTTTGCTTGTCCATGGCGGGGGAGTGTGTCTGTCGCAGCGGGGCGTAGCGGGCATCGCGGTCCAGGGAGCGGCCAGAGTAGACAGGTGGCTGTGGAGGGATGAAGACACGTTTTATGTCATCATCGTCCTGCAGGAGAACCGAGCATGCTGGTTAGTATAAGCTACCAGGGGGTTGAAGCTGATATAATAATATAAAATTACTGGGGGCATGAGGTTGAAGCACTGGAGTAGGGAGTAAATAAACTTGATGGAATGATATCAAATTACTGTGGGGTTGGGGGTGGATTTGAGGTGCAGTCACTGGAGCCTTTACAAGGACTAGGAATGAGCAGCGAGGTGATGGACATAAAATACAAATATAGTTCACATTATACAGGTTGACGTGACATGAATGGAAATGGCCAGAGCATTAAATACAATGCATATATCAAGTTACATGGTTGGATACAAAGTTCCAGAAAAAAAAATTTTTGGGACTGTTTATTTAAAAGAAAGCACCATTGTCACTGTAACAAGCTTGGCCAAAAGCAAAAATATGTAACAAATTTACGCCACATGTCCCAGCCAACATATATAACATGCTGTATAATTTTTCACAGTGACATATGCTGACAGACATAAATTAACAACATCAGTTTTAACGTTAACAAAAAATTGTGAAAATAAGAACATACATTTGTTAGTAAGGAAAAGGTAAATATAATACAAAACTATCATATGTTTATCTTACAAACACAAACTGTTTTACAAATATATATCAATTGTTAAGATTCAGAAGGCAAAATAACATTAAAAAAAAATCCCAACAATTCCTCACATCAAAGCTCCTATAGCTGTCAGTGGCAAAGTCTTCCATGCTTTTGTCCAGGCTCCCCTGGCTGTAGTTGTCCTTCTGGAAGTTCTGGTAGAGGGGGCGGTCTGAGGGGGCGTACATCTCTATGGTATTGGCCTGGCTGGCACTTTCACTACCATCTGAAACGACAGAAGACAATTGTTCAAATTGGTCGTTCGACAACTACTTTGTTGCTTAGATTTTCTTTCTTTTTTTTCCCCATAGGATTGAAATGGAATAACAGGCTGCTAGGACTAGAAGAACAGCCTGCTTGGAGCATAATATCAACATGTGGGTTATTGTTGCCTGAACATTCATAGCATTATGAATTTTCATTTTCATGCATCAAATACATATTCTAAGTAAATGCATTCACTGTCACACATGACAAACTCTTTTTTGAAAATGATTTCTTAAATAATTCCTCCCCTTTCTAGTGAATAAAAGATAAAAATCAAATTGTATACTTTCATGAAAGACTATGGCAAGCAAAAATACAGTAGTCCTTGAGTACGAAGCTTTTTACTATTTTCAACAGATACATTGATTTCATTAAAATAATGGACTGCTACCCTCTAGCAGCATAATACCAATGACATAATATAAAAAGAGGTAGACCACTTGTGTGAATGTTATGCCTTTGGGAAGAAAACTTTTAATTGGACAGTGTGTCAATGTAATCAGGTGTGCAATGGTTAAATGATGTCACACGTGCAACAAACACACAAAATTCATAAATAGAAAGTTAAAAAAATAGCTATGTACTATTGTAATGCAAACCACTTTTGCTTCAGCAAAAGGGATGTAAGCAAGACTATATTTTCTATGTAAGCTGAGGCAAAAAGAAATAATGATATAAGAAAAAGATGCATTTTCGTGTCTAATTAAAAAAGGCCAGTACAATCATATCTTTCAATCCAAAAGAAAAATCAAACAAAAACATAAGTATATTGAAGAAATAAATAACAAGGCAGCAAAGCTGTCAAATGTACAGACAAAAACCAGAAAATNAGTTAAGCATAATGTACTTTTGCATCAGAATTGACAGTAGCCTGTTTTGTGCATTGTTATTGTCTGCTTTTTGTCTGTACATTTGACAGCTTTGCTGCCTTGTTTTTTATAAAATGTATTATATTTATTACATCTTCAGTTGACAAATACAACCAAATTTGGTATGTTTTACTGTCAAAGGTTATTACAGGCACCACAGCCAAGCATTCTGGAGGTTGTTAATTTGATCTTCTAACGGAGACATAAACAGTTCACTGCAGATTCTGTAGTTTTTCTTGTTCCATTTAATATATATAAAATGACATGAAATCTAATACATACATACATTACATTTCAGGTATGCCAACCTTGATGACAGCAACGGACAGTTGGTCATATCAGGAGTCAGAACATCTGAAAAATACAACTCTTACAAAGACCATTGAGCGTAATGTGTCTCCAGCTGCTGACTGGAGGCCATACAATGTCAAAGTCTGGAGACAACTAGGTCAGTTCTTATAAATTGTAAAGTTTGTGAGTGAACTAAATGTTCACTTGTAGTGGCTTTATATGGTACTGCTGATGTGTGTTTTGTAGAATATTGTAAAACTGTAGGGCCTGGTTTCATCAAGGCTGGATAGCACTATCCTATGGATAAAAATGGTCGCTATCCTCTGGATAGTGATATCCATAGAATAGTGCATTTCATCAACAGTGGATAGCGTTATCCAGGGAATAAATCAGCTTATCCAGAGGATAAATTTAATTTGTTTACTCAAAATAGGTGGGATAAATCTGCTATCATGCTGTTAAATGATCCAAAATGGCGAACCTGCTGGGTTTGGCAGTAAATCCTTTGAGATTTCACAGACGTAGAATGATTAGAGAGAAAACTTTGTACTGGTTGCTATAAACATTGTAAAAGTCATGATAGATGCTGTGTTCTGGTGCCATCTGTCGTCTGCTTCTCTATCTTGCAGGATGAAACCTGCTTCAACAAGCAAGAGGCAGAGAAAAGCAAACTGGACGTAAGCAGAAACAGCACTTTTAATAGAGTTTTGTGAGAAACATCATGCCATGATAAGGAACAAACATACTTCCACCTTGGACAATTAACATGGCCAAGGTGGAAGTGTGGAAATCCACTGCAACTGAAATATCATCAGTCGCAGTTTCAACAAGAAGTTCAGCAGAGTGTTGGGATAAGTGGAGGCACCTGGTTTCCCCTGTTAAGAGGTGTCTCAGTGAATTAAATAAGTCCAGACACCTAACTGGAGGTGGTCCACCACCCCAGGGACTCAGTCCAACCAAAAACAGAATAGTGAACATATATGCTGGAACTCCAGCCTTTGAAGGTTTGAAAGGTGGGATGGAGACTAGTGGTAAGATCAGGTTGCCACTGTTTGACTCTTTATAAATTTAATACACTTATTGTTGTTACAGACATCACCCTTTGAAATATCAAAGTTACTGTGATGAGGAAGCAGCATCTGGTTCAGAAAGGTTAGTTTCTCCCATTTATTCATGTACCTTGTATGTAAAGAGTTCGTGCACATAGTTTAATCTGTTATGAATCAAACAGTTTAGTATGAACACAGAGGATATTCCAGGATTCCTCCTGGGGGGATTCTGGCTATACTCTGCAACCATATCTGATGACACCAAAAACAAACCCTCTGACAGAGCCAGACATAACATACAACAGGGCTCAATCTCAACTAGAAACACTATGTGTGTAATTTTCTCTTTTGAGACATGATACAGTTACTACTTTATCTCTTTCTAGGGAAATGATACACAATCCATTGATTTGATTAATTTAGTACAATTATTTAGCTTTTACCCATTTATAGTAAAAAACATTCTTTCATTAATTTTTTTACTATTAAAACAACAATATTTTTCTTCTAAAATATAGCAGGACAGCTGTACTAGGTCAATTTATTTGGGAGCTTTTACATAATAGATTCAATTTAATTGTCTATTGTATTTTTTAGCTGAGGAGACAGTAAAACCCACACCAAGTCAGACATGTCCTTGCAAGAATGGTGTCAAATGTAAGCCAGATCCAGAAACTGGTGGGCTGGTGTGTTTGTGCTTGAATAGTAAGTATCTGGGTTAGAAAAACAAGGACAAAATATTGAAAATGTTGTTGTAATTAGGGACCGAGCCATTTTTGCCGCTACGTGGCGCTACACGCGATCAGGTTCAAGGGTCGCCATATTTGTCTCAAAGCGTGCATTGTGTTTGTGTAGCTAGCGTAGATAAAATGAATAAATATAGTGGTTGGAGCTTGCGGGAGATTCAAGTGGAACTAAGGAAGCGTGGGGCGAAAGTTTCAGGAAGGAAACAAGATTTAGTTGAGAGGTGAGTTCTTTTTCTCGGCGCTGTACCGTATTTTATTCGATGACGAGTGTAGCGGTAACAAAGATCGCCATTTCCTGTGTTTAGACTCTCAGTCGAACTCTGTTTTACTTCCCTTTTTTCAATTAACGTACAACACTTGTGTCAGAAGGTAGGTTCTCTAAAGAAAAACTACCGAAACTATTCCAAAAAAAAAAAAAAAAATAGTTTACATAGCGAGAAAATGAGGGTCGAGCCTTGGGCTGCAACAAAGATATTCGACCGGCAATGCAGGTATCACTGTATCAATAAATACGATCCTTACAGGACCAGTTTTACATTGAATCGGATCCTGCTGTATATTGACTTCTTCCAGTTTGATTTAATTTTATAAAACGATTGTAATATCTGCCAAATTTCACATATAGCAGCTCTTGATGGTCTTCAGCAGGATACCCCCAGCCCCTTAATACATCTGAGGTAATAAGGCCTCAGCAATACATACAGTTTGTTCATCTTTCAAAAAGACTTTCATTCTTGTTTTTAAAAGGTTTAAGGTTTTCAGTTACCAAAATAATGATGTGTAAGTGTGGGAAGGAGGTACATTTTGCATTCGCAGGGTTGCAAATAATATGATAACATAATAGTACTGAATGGTATTGACAAGATCGGTGAATTATTCACCACTCTCACTGGATTTTTACTTTTAATGCTTGATTTACTTGTATTTTATTTCATTTTACAGATTGGAGTCTTATGACCGTAATAACAACTTTGGTTCAACCTCTGCTATCCCAGAACCAAAATGGTCCATGGATACGCCTGATGGTGCTTTATATAGAGATGTTACATCTAGCTCATCATTTAATGTATTGGTATCAGCCAAACATGTGTCCAACTACCTTGAACTACAGGAGACTGTAATGAGCAAGAAGGCACGGAAGTTATATGAAGAAAGGTAAGTTTAATTCCTTTTTTTAGATTTATTTTTGTGCCACTACCATAAAAACAACCAATTTATAATTTTCTTCATCTTCAGTGTGGTTGTCAGATGTTTTGCATCTATTTTCCATTTTAAATTTTTTCTGATGTTTTTCTTTAGATTCCTGCGCTATGTCAAAGCTGTTGAAGTGGAGAGTGGGGTATTCATTCGTGCTCAGAGCCATGCAGAAATGAAGAAGAATGTGACGTATGATGTTGACATCCACATTAAGCCTGATGGAACCATTGAAGCTTGCCAGTGTGACTGTACAGCTGGCATTGGGCCATATGCACACTGTAAGCATGTCAAGACTGCTTTATATGCCTTACAAGATTTTGCCAAAAGGAAAGAACTTTTAATTGAGCCTGTATGTACGGAAAGACTGCAGACTTTCCATAGGCCCAGGAAGGTGTATACTGGTGCTCCAGTAAAGGCTGCAGATCTAGACTTGGTTGCAGATATCAACAATGTAATTTTTGACCCTCTGAATGGACTTGACGAGGAGACTGACGAGGAGTACAATAGTAGGGTGAGGAACCTGGCTGTAAATTATGGTGCACTACATCAAGTCCAAATCCCTTTAACGCAGCTGTATGCACCTGCAAATCCCATTGCAGTAGATTTGGACCATGATTACTTGCAGAATATGGGTTCAGAAAACTTTCTTCGATCAGAAAACATTACAGTAATTTCACCAGAGGCTCAAGTCGATATTGAGAGGAGGACTAGGGGACAGAGTCGAAACCCAACTTGGAAGGCTGAGAGAGAAAAGAGACTGCAGTCATCAAATTTTAGTGCCATATGCAAAACAACCAATCCAAAGAAACTTGCAGCCTCTCTCATGGAGACCAAGG